CTCCCGCCGCTCGCCGCCTCCCCCCCGGTGGCGGCCGACCAGATTTCGTGGCCACCGTCTAAGTCACCGGCGGTGGAGGATGCGACGGAGAAGACGCCGGTGTTCAAGAAGTGGCAGCACCCGGCGGCGCCTTTTTATTACGAAACGGCGCCGTTTGTTCCGCCGTTTATTCCCGTTTAAAAGATGTAGAAGATCTAACGGTTTATGATATTTTTTTTTCTATTACTAGGAGAGACCCGCGCAGTTTTTCGTTTATTATTGTTAATATAAAATATTTACTTTTTTATTATAAAAAATATTAATATTAATGTAACAAAAATATTTATCTCTTCGTACAGAAATTCTATTCTTTTGTTGTGCATAACAAAAACAAAAACCAAATGTTACATATATATACCAAAAAAATCAACTAATACAAGGTGTAAAAGAAAGTGATGTTATATAGTAGAGAAACCCAATAATATATCAAAAAAGAATTAATTTTAAAAAGTAGATAATAATTGTTAATTATTACTTTTGGTCATTGTTTATTTCTATCATAGGCATATACCACGAATATTTTTGTCATATTTTGGTTGTTTCAAATTCTTACTAATTATTAACCTTGCACGCATCGCGCTGATATAAATATATATAACTATTTTTAAAATTTATTCTCATTTTTGAATTTAAATCTATTGTATTATATTTTTGAATTTATAATTCATATTTTTAAATCAAAATGATAAATAGTTTTTGAAAATATCGAAATAATAATATCATTTATCAGTAGATAACGTCTATACTTAGATTTTCATATTTTATAATTTAGTATCAATAGTTGAAATATAATACTGATCTTACGATTTTTTTTATTTATCAAAATATGTTATAAATTAATATATTATTTTTTTACAAACTAAAATTTTGTCATCTTTATACTAAAAAAACTAAAAAACTAATATTATATATATTTGTGTATTATGTATATTTTATCATAATAATATTGATTCAACTACCCGTATAAAATCAATTGACTTCTAATTTAAATATATATATATATGAATTAGAGTTTTTTTTTAAGTTAATTAGATCTTTCACTTAGTTTCACTTATATTTCGTTAAATTTATCTGTAATAGTACTTATCATCCCATTATTTATTTTGCATGATTCTTCATAATTCATCTTGAATTTTTCAATTATATGATGAAATAGTTGACTTAGTTTGACATACATGATATATCATCGTTTCGCAATTTTTCAATTATAAAAGTTAGAATCTCAAATAAAGCGATACTTACAAGATTCAAATTCTAATAATACTCAATACTACTAACATTTTAGTTAGAGTATATACTTCAACACATGATTCAATAAGTTTTTGAAAAACTTTCAAAACTAAAATCCAATGACACTTAGGAGATGTCTAACCCACTAAACTGACATTTTACATTATCCCTCATCAAAATCGTAATAGTTTCTATGATATTCGTTTGATTCATTTCAGATTCATAAGTTACTTCAAATATCAATGAAAAATTATTTATTAATTTTTAACGATATTTATGAAAAATTAAAACGTTAATGGTTCCTGCAAAATTATACATTTACATGATATTTTTAAGTAGATATATTTTTTCTATTAGTTTTATAATATGTTTTGATTTTATAATTCATATTCTTTAAATAAAATTATGATATTTTTGAAAATATGAAGATAATGGGATGTTTCAATTTTTTCAAATAGATATTGTGAATATATTATGTGTTTCCATTTTTATGAATTATAATATAAACTTTAGGGGTGGAAAAATATCAGTACAATATTTCTACAAATTTTATGACTCGACGGAAGAATTCCACTTTTGGTAAATCCATGATAGCTGAAAAATCAGATTATCGTTAGTTTGATAAATATATTTTTAAACAATGAGATTGTTGGGAAGATTCCATTCAACAAAACAAAATTTTATGTTTCTCATTTGAAACTCTCTCTTCCTTAAATTCTACCAGAGAGAGAATAACAATAGATATCTAAATTCGATATCAATGATTTATTCGATATCAATGAATAATATTATTAAATATTATAGTTATCATTTGTTTTAAAAATAGTAAAATTTACATATGGCAATGACCTGTCATCAAATCGATTAAATAGTGATCGATGTTAGAGTGAATGTAGATTTATAGACAAATTTATAAAAAAAAATTGTATTTTTTATAGAAATGTCAAAATTCGTATATTTATATGGAAATTTTTGAATATTTATGATTTTTAAGTTATTTTCCCATATATATATAATTTAGAGATTTTACCGTTGAAAAGTTGTTAAAAAGTTTTGTATAAAATGAGAATTTTTTTGTTGATTTAAACTCATGGTTTTAGTTGTCCATTGAAATAGTTTTATGTCTATAATATATTTTAGGATTTGTATATATGTTTATTTTTAAAATTTTATTACTTTTAATAATATTTTAATTTATATATAACTATCCTACAACATTCATATTTTCATATACCAACTTGAAATTCATCAATCAAATAAATTAATAATACTCGATAACTTCTTTATATAGAAATATATTTTCATATATCATCTAGAAATCCTTCGTCATATAAACATTTCTCGTATATTAAGTCGAATTAAATGTCTGATCTTGGTCTTCTTATTATATATACGTAATTCACAAATCAAATTGAAACAGTTGCACATTTTAATGCCATATAAGCTTTGTATATATTACATGTACTCAAGTTAGCCCTATTGTCGGTATTTATTTATTTTTATTATTCAGGTTGTTCTCCATCTTTTTTCTTTAAACTCTTTGCAGAAAAAAATAGTTATGTGATGGTGATGATGATGATGATGATGATAATAATAATAATAATAATAATAATAATAAAACATTATTATTATTCTTAAATATATATATTGTACTTATAACTTGATACATAGAAATATAAAATTTTTAAAATAAAATAAAAAGATAATTGAGAAAATGAAATCAAAACTATTTAGAATGTGTAACAACCTTTCTGAGAATGACTAAAGTTGATATAAATAAGCAGACTGGATTATTTTATTTACATAAATTAATGTACATAAATATACATATATACATATATATATATCCATGTATATACATATATATATAAACATCTTATTCGATTGAATTGAATTTTAATTAAATTAAAATCAAATAAAAAATTTAAATAATTATAATTTCTATCCTGTCAGAATATTTAAAAAAAATGCAAACTGAAAACCACTAATTATTCCTTATAACGAAATAGGAATTTTGATTTTTTTTTCAAAGGAAAAAATCAATGGAAAAGAGAAATGCCATCCAAATATTTATATAAATCGGAATATAAATCGATATATAAACAATCTCTAACAGTGTTAATAAGTGGATTGGTAGTAGAGATTTGGTTTTTGTCTGAAAAGAACTTGTTTTTCTTGAATTTTATGTAACCTAAAACAAAAAAGGATGATGCATCTATCAAGACTACATGCAAACAATTTATGGTCGATGTTGATTACTCACTATTTAGAAAATAAGATGGCGTTAAGTTCAAAGGAATTAGAGTATAAAAAACATTACCAATAGATCTTGGCAGGTTCAACCTTACATTATACAAAATCTCACCAACTTTCAATATCCTTTCATTTCCACCTCCAAGATCAGGTGATCAATAGAAAAACTGTATGTCCGCCATTAAAATTACAACTTTTCACCTTCTCAAAAAATACTCCATGGAATAATGAGAATACCCAGAGTCGGTTCCATTTTCTCATCGTTTGCAAAACATACTTCGGGTTGAAATCAAACACACGTCACATGAACCCCCATAGTGTCTCCACATCAGTTGGCTTCAAAGCAAATGATATCGTTGTCATAACATAGATAGCCATGAAAATTAGATGAAGTGCCAAAAAAAAAAAGATCTTTATTTATAATCTTCTCGATCTCATCTTTTCGGGATATTACACAACTCGAGTCATCGACATTTGTAACAAAGAGATGATTGTGTCTAATAACAGCTACACATGTTGTGTATCCAGAAGAAGGTATCGGAAAATCAGAATAACGACCTTGTTTACAATAATAAAAGCACATGTCTTAAATCTAACTTATTATTTCCTCTGTTATTTTGATTCCATCTTCAACAGTAAATAGAAGAAGACGAACCGGAAAAGAGTAGCATTATGTAGTTATTGAAGATTTACATCCTCGAAGGACCAAACCTTCTACGCAACCATATCAATCCTTCTACCATACCTGTGAGCTATTATTTAATCTGTCTCCAGATATTGCTAACTCTCTCCCTCCTCTTTGTTCTTACATCATCTCATTCATTCTACATCACATAGCCATAAAAAAAAAAAAATAGAACCTTAGAAAAAATGATTCATGATGATGAGTGCTTAATTTTTGAATCGGTGATACTAAAACACAAACCTTTTTTTTAATCCTGAAAACAAAATAACCTGAAAAAAACTCTTTGTAGAGACATTACATCGTTGCACATAGCACATAATATAAACACTGTAAACTAAAAGAAAGAGATGGAAGGGTGACCTACAGATACCTTAGCGGACATGAACGATGATCTTTGTTCCATGAGGACCAACATTAGTGATTTGTTGATTGGAAGTGTAATCTTCGTTCCATGAGAAACATTGTATTCATAAGCATTAATACAATAAATTAGAATTAATGAGAAGAGAGCAAATAATAAATATAGTTCTTAACTTCTTAGTGGGTAATGAATACAACGTTCGAGCTCTAGACCACTATACGTTTTTTTGCTTTGATTTGTTCTTTAAAATTTTATACAACTACATATCAGTTACATATAATGAATAGTTATTAAATATAAGCCAAAATCACAACGATCCGGAATAAAATTTTCCATTTAAACATTACAATGACCCTTTTTATATATAACGAAGATAGCTTTTGTCAACCCATCATCATCTATTAATTGATTTCTCCCAAAATACTCCCTCTAATCCTGTGTTCGATTTCTCCCGTAGTGTTCTCTTCAATCCAGTGTTTTCTTCTAAGTGTCATGATCATGAGTGTAAGTTTCTAGATCTATTGTTTTATTCTATATTTACTTATGATTGGATCTAGTTTAAGTTTCTGAAATTATTGAGACGGATTCTCGACCCCCGTAGAAAACTCGTTGATGCCTCGAACATTTGTGCATCAAAGTTCAGAATCCAACGAAAACTGTAGAAAAACTGCAAGAATATAATAGATCATAGTAACTCCAGAAACGAATGCTTGAGATTGAGTTTAACAATAATCTTGTATTATTTTAGGATTAAGAATTAATTAGATTTAGATTAATTTTTTGACTAATCTGTAAAAATATTATATGACCATTTGAGATTGATTGGATTACGTATTCTAAAAGTATTATGATACTTTAGATTTGATGTTATCATGGGAGAAAATATGATATATAAATCTAAATTGATCTAAATCAAATCTAATCTAAAATAATTAAAGATCCTAGAGCAGTGAAAGTAGGGGTGGGCACGGATCGGATATCCGGGATTTTTGAGATATCCGTATCCGTATCCGATCCGCACAAATATTCGATTTTGTTATCCGTATCCGATCCGTAATTTTCGGATATCCGCAACTTCGGATATTCGTTAAAATCACGGATATTTACGGATATCCGTATCCGACCTAAAATATTATAAAATTTTTAATTTAAATCAAATAACAAATTTAAACATAAATAAAATATATAATATATTTAATATAAATAATATTCACGAATTTAAAATTCATAATTTAAACATTCCAAATCAACTAAAATACAAATACAATTATAATCTATCACAAACAAATATATTCAAATTTCAAAATTCAAAACATTAAACATAATAAATTTTAATATTTAAAAATTACAATTATAAATCTCAATATATATAAAATTTTTCTTGAATCACGTTAAAAAAACATGTAAATATTAAGCATTTTAAATCTACATACCAAATTATTCTTATATTTAATAATATTATTATAAAATACGGACCGGATCGGATATGTCGGATAATTCAATTTTAATATCCGTATCCGATCCGTATCCGACAAATATCTCCAAATCAATATCCGTATCCGATCCGTAAACTCCGGATATCCGAATTTTCGGTTCGGATACGAATCGAATAACGGATCGGTTCGGATTTTTCAGATATTTTGCCCACCCCTAATATAGACTAGGGGAGAACCGCGCGTTGCGCGGTTTATTTTTTTTATTAATATAAAATGTTTATTTTTCGTTATAAAAAATCATTACTATTAATTTTTAAAAAATTATATTAGTAATTTAATATATATATATATATATATATATATATTCGAAGGATAAAAAAAGAAAAAATAAATAAATTTTATTGAATTATTATATTATAAACTCATTTTTAAAAATTATATTATTAATTCAATATATATATGTATTAAAGATCGAATAAAAGATAGATATTATATTTCATTGAATTATTATATTATAAATTCATTCTTATATTGATTAGGTTTGTCAATGTAATTGTATAAGTAACACCCAAAAAAAAAAAAAAAAAAAAAAAAAAAAGTAGAACGTCCGTTCCAGACCGCAGAACGGACGGACCAGAGTGTCGGCAACGACCAAACGACGACTTTCGTCCGGACCGACCTGAAAGCGACCCGAATGCACTAATCCGACCAGAAAATCCCGACTTTTTGACTTTGTGCACGATTTAATCCGCCCTGGGTCCGAATTCGTGTCATAATTTGGCCTAATCAGAACTAAATCGCCATTTTCTCTCTCCCTCACATGTTCTTCATTTCCAACCGAAAATTCTCTCTCAAATCCGAACAATTGACGTTCAAATCGGTTTCTACAGAGCAAGAGGAACATCCCAAAGCTTCCCATTCAACACCCATAGCACGGGCTTAACCCGAGGTGAGTGAATTCGAGTTTAATTCGGAAGTCTGTTAGACATGGGGTTTTGGGTTTTGAGTGATTTTGTGAGAAATTGATGTTTGATTCGTGTTGTGCATGCAATTTTATGAGTTTTAATGTTATACCCATAGTGAATCGTGCATGTTTGTGTGTTTTGGTGAAAATCCGAGGACCAGAACGTCCGGTCTGAGGTCAGACCGTCCGTTCTAGGTCCGTAGAAGAAAACGCGAAGTCTGGAGGTTGAAGACGACTCCAGAACGTCCGTTCTGCAAATCCGGAACGTCCGTTCTGACTTGCCAGAACGTCCGTTCTGGACGAGACGGAACGTCCGTTCCGCACTTGCCAGACCGTCCGGTCTGACGAGACGGAACGTCCGTTCTGAACCGATCGGTCTAGGACTAGACCGATCGGTCTGAAAAAAAAAAAAAAAAAAGGAGTAACGGAACTGTAAAAATTCACCATGAGGAAAATTGAAAAACATGATAAGACGGGTCTAATATGACCCTAGTTAAAATTATGAAAAAAAAGTGAAAAATATAAATTATACCGGAATTACGGGCCAGACCGGACCCCACGTAGTCTGGACCCAAAATGAATAACAGGTAAGGTTAGAAACCACGGAATGAACCGAACTCGTTATCCGGGCGGACCGGGACCAGCTAAGTCATACCGGAGGTACAATTCGGTAAACTCGATGAAGAGAATGAAAGAAAATATATAAAGAAATATAAAAGACTACACAAGCGGAAATGCATGTATAGTAAATAAACTATATAAATGCATGTGATTGGGGTAGCTGGCATGGCACTAGCGTTAATTCGGAAGGGTTCGGATTAACGTTTAGCGCGTGATTGTAGAAATGGACGCTTGTGAATGATTATACGATGGTTGCGAGATTGCGTCCCATCTACGGGCCATCCGATCCGGGTTGGATGTCACCCGTATGGGATATGATTGTGAATGTGGCGATGATATAATCGCGCCAACGTCCGAATGACAGGACGGTTATGGGCACCCCGATGACTTGCGTGGATAGCCGATTGGGGTCGGTACTATTGCGTGACGAGGAACACACGGTTTTTAGAAC